ACTGAGCCACCCAGGTGCCCTGAGATACTCTTTTTAATATGTTAAATCGGCAAAATTTTTAATTATGAAAAATACTTAGCATCAATGAGTTGTGAAGAAATGGGCCATTTTGTACGTTTTGTAGGTAGAGTAGAAAATGATACAGCTCTTTGGAAGAGCAATTTTTCAATATATATATTAAAATTTTTAATTCACATATCTTTTATGCAAAAATTCCATTTCTATACTACAAAAAACCACAAACAAATGAAGATAGAGTATAAGGATGTCCATAGAAATATTTTTTTTTTGCATGTTTAATACCAATATGTTAGGACAATAGTGAAAGCAAGGTAAAGGCTAAAACATTTATGATTATTTATACTATGGAATACTATATAGCCATTAAAAATAATAAGAAAAATAGAAAATTTTATCTGTTTCTAAAGATTTTATTTATTTTAGATATAGAGAGTGCAAGCAGGAGGGGCAGAGGTAGGGGGAGAGAGAATCTCCAGCAGGTTCTGCCCAGTGCAGGGCTCGATCCCATGACCCTGAAATCATGACCTGAGCTGAAACCAATAGTCTGATGCTTAACTGACTGTGCAACCCAGGCACCCTGAAAAATAGATAATTTTAGATAGATCTAGATATAAATCAGAATAACATGAAGTGAAAAAGTTAATTTATAGAACAGTATGTGTAGTCCAATTTTAATTATGAAAAATGCATACACAAATAAATTACAAGTGAATACCTAAAGAGACTGTAAATACACATCTGTATTTAATAGTAATTAACTCTGTGAGGGGTAGCTGTTGAGGGTATAGCAAGAGCATTCTTTCATGTTCTTATTTGTATTGTATGGAGTGTGTTGATTTTTAGTCATCAACATATATTTCTTTTTCATTTAAATTTTTATGAAGTGGCCCCGCCCAAGTGATTGAAAATATTATTGCTTTTAGAAAATATGATTGACTTTTATATTAATAGATAAAAATATATGCATGGATAAAAAGATAGACCATAGACAGGGTCTTTAGAGGAGATAGGTTTTCTTTCTGCTTTCCATATATTATTGGCCAGATATTCTATAGTGAGTACTACTGTTCCACCCACAATCTATTGAAAAGAAAATCCCAAAGATTGGGATCCAGGGGTTAGCATTTTATGAAGCTCCTGAGATAAGTCTAGCAGTTAGTTGGGTTTCAGAGTAACTGCCAAAGGCTTCACATCTCCAAAGGATTTAAAGGCTATGAGAACCTTAGAATCTGAATATGCCTAGAAAGAGTGATTTCACTTAAATTTTGCTTGAAGGTAAATTCTAGAGAATTTAATAGTTTCCTTTACATTCATGAATACTGATTCAGCATTCCTTTTTGGCTTCCAGATTCTCAATCCACTGTGGTGATGGTATTACTTTGGTGAGTTTTCCACACTTGCTAAATATCCTATACCTCATGCTGCTATTTGTATTAACTGCATATGGTCGATGCTCTAATTCCAAAGTCAACACTTCTGAGTGTGTATTTAATTGTTTACAGAATAAGCAGTGGGGTGGTTTTAGAAAGCCCATGACTGGTTTTCCACCTCTTCTTTTACCTCTTCTTTTCTTTTTGTTTGGGATATGTTGCAGAGTTTTTCAGGCTATTGCAGTCTTAGAAAGAGACATGATTACACTTCATATATGAGCTCCTTCTTTTTCTATATCTGTTGTTGGAAAGGAAGGGCCAGATGTGTGTGTTTTTAAAAGAACCTTGAATTAATCTACATAACTTTGAACAATCATGTCTGCCTGCCGTCAAGTCTTTCTGACACACCAGTATGCACACCAAATGTTTGTCCACTTAACAATGAGACACTTATTTTTGTATTCCCAGATTTACTGGTGTTCGCTTAGAATGCAGTTTCCTTCCGTATGAACTGTGAGACAGGATCCATTTTCCCTTGTCTGCTCAATAGTTCTATACTGACCCATTTTGCCTTCTGCCCCTTGTATGTTTCTTATTTTGGAGGTCAGATTATAGGTGAACTGTTATATCCTCCATGGCTACTAAAACAAAAATCTTTGGAGAAAAATACAAAATATATATTTGTGGTTTGTCCGTATCTTGAGGGTCTTCTTCACATTTCATATTTTGGAATCTTAGTGATGCTCGAGTTCCTAACCTTTTGGTTAAAGTACCTACCCCTGGCTAAGTGTCTCTTGCGACAAAAAAAGCTACAAGAATGGGAACTGTTATAAAGGGGGGGAAAGCTCTTCAATAATTAGGATTCATCTACAACTAGAGCATTTTATTAATTACACATTGTAATCACATGGATAGACACAAAACCAATCGTGCAAGTCTGTATTTAGAGGTCTGTAGACAGAAGACTTAACGTAAACATAGAAATGTTAAACCTACTCAGCTGTAACCTGCAAAGAAGATAACAAGAAGGATTCTGTTCTCTGTATGATTTGTGAACAATGCTAAGTAAATATTCATCATTAATATATAATAACTGTTGCTTTTGGCAGTTCACTTTTCATTTAATTTGATAATGTGTCCAGTAAATGAAGTGGTACAGGCTACAGTGTTTTACCAACACAATTGCATATTTTCAATCATTGTTAAATGAAGGCAGCTCAAGGCAAAGCTTTAACCCCCACTAGTTTTGTGTGTGATAAAAAGAGAAGGCGCTATCAATCTTTATTGTCTGTCTCGCTTACTGTAATTGCATTCAATAGTCCACTGATTCTGTTGTCTGTGCTAATGTCAGGAACAGAGGAGAGCCAGATGCTCAGACTTGATCATATGCATCCAGTGGCCACTTTGATAAGTTGGCAGCAAGTCGCTGGGTTTGATGATAAATTGTTAATGCTATAGATTATGAACAGCTGAACACTGCAAGTGTACATGGAGGAAACTTCTTACCTTGTTTTAAATCTGGCATCATGATGCTAACTAAAGGGCATGTCATGTATTATTCAAATGCATCTTGCACTGGAAATGTGCCAATGACTCATTGTATCCCTATGAATAGTAAAAGCAACAACAACAACAAAAATCCACAGTGATTTGAACATGACATTAATGGTCCCAGGATTATGAAAAGCATTTTGAAATACTGTTAATAGTTTTGATTATCTAATTCAACAAGGAGAAAGCTTCTAAGTTGTATTCACATTTAATCCATATTAAATCGTGCTCTTCCTGGTCATTTCTGTTATATTAGCTGATAATGAGGATGTTTTCTAAAAACAAACTGGTTTTTCATTAGTTAAAACCCATGGCAATTTGCTTGTGAAGGGACATAAATTGGAGCTGTGGGGCAAGCGCTGTGTTGAAATTTTTGCCAAGATTTTATTTCATGTAGATATTCTGCTTCTAAGAGAGATGTGATATAGGCCATTTGTACAGAGTATATAATAGGTCTTATTTCTGTTGAGCTTATGTGACAGTTGTAAAAGTTCATGTCACGGTTTTTAAGTCATTAGCCAACTCTTACAGTTGTTTAAAAAAGCTGAGATGACCGTGAACTGTATAACAGTCTCATACCAGGGAACACTGAGCTGTTGACCACATTTTAAATGGAAAATCCTAAGTACAACCAGATGAATATTTCTTTACCATTGGAGGAATTGCTATCTGATCATTATATGGTTCAGTTTCCCTAAAATAAACACATACAAGAAATACTGTTGGATTTAAGGATTGAGATAAGAAATGTCTCTTGCCTAACTGGTGTGTTCCTTTTTTAGATAATGGAGATTTTGTAACCCATTGTGAATTCTTTTTTGCCTGTGCTGCTAGGAAACTCAAAAGTCGTTCATACGAACGTTTTCTTTTTAAGTTTTTATTTAAATTCCAGTTAGTTAACATACAATGTAGTATTAGTTTCAGGTGTACAGTTTAATGATTCAACACTTCCATACAACACCCAGTGCTCATCATAACAAGTACACTCCTTAATCCCCATCACTTCTTTCACCCATCTCGCCACCCACCTCCCCTCTGGTAACCATCAGTTTGTTCTCCATAGTTAATCTGTTTCTTGGTTTGCTTCTCTCTCTCCCTCTCTCTTTCCCTTTTTCCCTATGCTCCTTTGTTTAGTTTCTTAAAATTTGTACTCACTTTTTTAAGCTAAGTTTTCAGCTATGATTATCTCTTTTCTCTTTCTCCTTCATTCTTTTCTTGTGACTTTATCTTGTTTTTCTTGTCTTTTATTGGCAGGATGGATATATTAGGTGAATGGATAGCAGAGAGAAGAGAGGGAATAAACTTTACCATGAGGTTTTAAGGGCAGAATCCTGAGGCATTTACTATGTCACCAGAGTAAGAATTGATCTCTAGTTATTACCAAGATAGGATTCCAGCTGACATTGGAAAAGTTACTTCAACCTCTGTGGGGGTCAGTTCCTCATCTTAAAAAAAAATGGATATAATAAAAACATTTAATTCATAAGATTCTGGTGAGGTTTAATTAATATAAAGTAAACATTTAATCAGTGGTAGCAACTGTGATGGTGGTAGTGTTTATGTAAACTCTAGAAGGTAAAGATAATACAGTATGACCCAAATGTTAGAATTTAATTCTGATGGCATCTGCAACTGAGTCCAAACCGTAAGGTGATCTCATGCACAATTTGGTGTATTACAAGTTAGATCCTGTTTTAAGCAAGCTGATATATGAGACTATGGGTTTACTCATTCGATTGCTTAAGAGATGCACTCTTCATTCATAAAAGATGTTTAACTTTGTAAAATTCTTCATTTTAGTGTTCTTTGGGGGGGGTTCAGACTTTTCTGTAAAAATGAGTGATTTAAATTTATATAGGTTTTGCAAGAGCTTGTTGTTGGTCTATAGTAAGATCCTGTTCTCCTTCACTGAACCTTGAGAAAGAGTTTGACCCAGATGAACCCTCTCTCCTGGATCTCTAGGATTATTGCTTATCTTTTATTTATTGTGAGGAAACTCAGTTTCCTGTGGCCTGATGGAGGCTGCTCCTTCCCAGGCTTGCTCCTGCCTGTCAGTCCCTTATATGTTATAGTGCCTGGGGCTTGCCTTCGGGCTCCTGGCCACTCCACCTATACACTCCCCCTTGTGACTTCACCCAATCCAGAGGCTTTAGTGTCCATCTCTTTGCTGGTGGCTGTCAAATTCCCATCTCCAGTGTGGCCCTCTCACATACTTCATTTCACTTATCCAACTGTGTATTCAACATCTCACCTTAGATGTAAATAATCATCTAAAATCTAGCTTGTTCCCCACCCTCAGGCTATCTCATTCTCCAGTCATACTTATTTCAGTGAGTATTACCACCATCTGAAGTCGCTCAAGCCAAAAACTTAGTTATCATCCTTGCTTCTGCTTTGCCTTCACCCACTATACCAATCTACTGGAAAGTCCTGTTGGGGCTATCTCTGGACCATATAGGATCTGGTCTGCTTCTATCCACCTTTTCTTTCCCCACCTTAGCCAATATCCCTAAACCACCTGCCTATCTTTCCCTTATCCCACTGCAACAGCCTCCTGGTCTCTCTGTTTCCCCTCATGCTTCCCTTATCATCTGTGCTCCATAAAGCTGTATTTTAAAAACAAATAATATCATGGTGCTGACTTCTTCCTAAATCCTTCCAATGGCTTTCCATCATACTGAAGATAAAAGCTAAATTTTTTTCCCATTGTCTGTGAGAGCCTACTTTTCTCAAGTCATCTCTTCTGTACCCTCATCCCTTTTTTCAGGCATGTCAACCGTGCTTTTACTCAGGGCCTTTGCGTAGATGTTTTGTCTGCTTGGAACACTCTTTCCAAAGATTTATATGGGGCTGGCTCTTTCGTGTCATTCAGGTCTCAGCTTCGGTGCCGCCTCCCTTAGCCTCTCCCAACATGCATCCCCTGCTGTTGCTTATATTTTATTTCCTTCAAAGCTTATAAAATAGTCTGATTATTTCCTTTATTTGTTTGCCTATTTTCTGTATTCCACTATTAACATGTGAGCTTCATGAGAACATGAACCTTTTTTACCTTGCCTACCCGTGAGCATTGTGCTCAGCATATTGGTTAAGACTGCAGACTCTGGGATCAGATTCACCAGTCTGGATGCTGTCACCGACACCCACCATTGTGTCATTTCACACCAGTTGCTTCATTCTGTGTGGCTCAGTTTTCCCATATGAAATGGAGACCATGTTAGCATCTGCTCATTACTGTTATTATGGGGAAAGGATATGAAAAATGTGAAATATTTATGACAAGTCTGGCACTCGATAGTTTTTGTGTTTTCTTACTCAGTTAGAATAGTCGCTCTATACAGTTGATGTTCAATAAATACATGTTGAATAACATGTGAAAAGATACATAATGATATTTCATGTTTTGTTGATGAATATTTCTGAATATTATCTATTCTAATATTAATTTATGAAAAGATCTTATG